GTTGATTTTAATGATATATTCTCACCTGTTGTTAAACATAACTCTATTCGTGTTTTGCTTGCTTTAGTTGCCATGTATAATTTGGAGTTAGAACAGCTCGACGTTAAGACAGCTTTCTTACATGGCGAACTTGAAGAACAAATTTATATGAGACAACCCCAGGGTTTTGAAATTGAAGGTAAGGAAGACCATGTTTGTTTGTTGAAGAAATCCTTATATGGATTGAAACAGTCTCCAAGACAATGGTATAAGAGGTTTGATTCCTTTATGTTGGGTCATGGTTATTTGAGGAGCATGTATGATAGTTGTGTTTACTTCCGGAAGTTAAATGATGGTTCTTTCATTTATTTGCTGCTTTATGTTGATGACATGCTCATTGCTGCCAAGAATTTGTCAGAAATTCACACCTTGAAACTGCAGTTAAATAGTGAATTTGAAATGAAAGATTTAGGAGCAGTTAAGAAAATTCTTGGCATGGATATCAATCGAGATCGAGGAGTAGGAAAGTTATTTTTGACCCAGAAAAATTACCTTGAGAAAGTCTTGGAGCGTTTTGGCATGAAAGATGCTAAACCAGTATCTACTCCTCTTGCTAGCCATTTTCGGCTATCTGCTGCTCAATCACCACAATCAGATGAAGAGAAAGATTATATGGCACGGGTTCCTTATTCCAGTGCAGTCGGCAGTATTATGTATGCAATGGTTTGTACTCGTCCAGATATTGCACAAGCAGTCAGTGTTGTTAGCAGATATATGTCTTGCCCTGGTAAAACACATTGGCAGGCTGTGAAGTGGATTCTCAGATACTTGCGAGGTACTTCAAATGCATGTTTGGAGTTTGGAAGAAATAATAACACTTTGGTTGGTTTTGTAGACTCAGACTACGCTGGGGATCTTGACAGGAGAAGATCGCTTTCAGGCTATGTATTTTGCATTGACGGTTGTGCTGTCAGTTGGAAAGCTACTCTACAACCTGTCGTAGCTTTGTCTACTACAGAAGCAGAATATATGGCTGTGACCGAGGCAATCAAAGAAGCCTTGTGGTTGAAGAGTTTATTTAGCGAGTTAAGTCTATATCAAGGTGTTACTGATATTCACTGTGATAGTCAAAGTGCCATACACTTGACTAAAGATCAGATGTATCATGAGAGGACGAAACACATTGATGTGAAGTATCACTTCATTCGGGATATCATTGCTGAGGGAAAAGTTCTTATTCAGAAAATCAATACTAAGGACAATCCAGCCGATATGTTTACGAAACCTCTTCCAGTTTACAAGTTCAAGCAGTGTTTGGACTTGGTTGGTGTTCGTTATTGGTGATTTAAGCCCATTGGGGCTTATATGAAGAAGGTGGAGCAAGTTTATAATCTCTCGATGTTGCGGACTCACCAAGGTGGAGATTTGTTGAAGCCGCAATTGCTGACCAAAGAATTGTGGTTCGTCCCACATCGGAGGAAAGCTAAGGATGCTTTCCATTTTGCGCCTATAAATATAGGCCTCATATGTTGAAGTTAATTGCACCATTCAAGAGAGTTATATGGGCTATTAGGTTCTTGAGTCATTTAATCCATTTAGTCAAATATTTTAGGCTCTCTTGTTTTGAGTTTAGGAATATTTTCTAAACTCTTTTGTAAGTGCCTATTGGCCTAGGAACCACTTTCCTACGGCTTTTGTATTTCTTCTTCATAGTAGAAATATTGCTCCTTTCTCGCCCGTGGACGTAGGTCAATTTGACCGAACCACGTAAATCTTCTATGTCTTTTATTTGCTTTGTTATCCGTCTTTATATGGTCGGTTTTACCGCCTAATTATTATATGGCTGGTATCTACCGCCTATCTATTATATGGTCGGTTATACCGCCTACTTTGTGCTAACTTGAGTTTGTCTATTTCCTGGCCCGGTCCTAACAGTTAAGTCCAACACAAGAGTCAGGCATTTTTTCTATACTACCTAAAAGTCACATTTTAATCATGTTGATTAGATTCAACTTTATTCTTTCTTCATGTTCTAACCTGAATATCAGAGTTTAAGCAAGGGTTATAGCCCAGCATTTGACTAGTAGACTAGACAAGTAGTAGACTAGGAGGCAGAAGATCAATAGAAGGTAACAGAAAAATGGAAAGACTAGTACAGGATTTGAAGTCCTTGCCATCAGCATATAGTGCTACAAGTGCGAACACATGATAAATGTGCCAAAGGCTCGAAGAGTTGAGAACAAAGATGGTTACCACGAGGAAGACAATCCGCAATACACACGCCACTCCAGACGCTCGACACTTACAGAGCAACCAAAGGAAACTTTAAGCCCTGCTAGAGCTGGACTCAAACGGATCGCTTTGGGGAATGAATAAAAGGGTTCAGTAGGAAAACTAGGAATAGCATCTAATTTGCTGGTTGAGCTGCATGGATGCCTTCTCAGCTTGGAACTCAAGCAAATGGTTCAATAGCAAATGATTGCAGGTACCTAGCTGCTGAATGAGCAACTAAGTTCACAGAAGCAAACGGGAGAACTTTCAACGAAGAAATCAAAATTAAATTACTAACCTTGAATTCCAAGTGTTTACCTCAAAAGCAAACGGGAGAACTTGAAAGTTGAAATAAGGACTCATTAGATAGTTATTCTTGCCAGCTGAGGTGAAACTTTGAAAGTTTGACCAACTCATTAAATATGTCGTCGTACTGTTCCTATAGTTATTTCCAATATTTTGCCTCGGACCCCTACCCCTTTTATGTCTATTTGTTGAAGATAAATAAGAAGAAATCTCTTTCCAAGAAACTTACATCCTTGCCATGCATGATGGAACTCGACATTTCTTGCCAAATAGTAATGCAGGAAGTATTTCGCATTATATCCTGTCAAAGTTCTCTAAACCCACCCCCCCCCCCGCGGGTGCGGCCCCAAAAAAAAAAAAAAAACTCTGGAGGTGTCTGCTGCCATGGGTGCCCTGGTACCGGAAAACTGTCCTAATATTTTGTTATTCACGTCCACTTCTTCTACTATACTACTATAAAGAAAGTAACGTGACTTAATAACTCTGTTTGGGCTGTAAGTGGGGGCTTAAATTCCACCTGCAGTAAAAAAAATTTCAGGGTTATGTCAAAATACTTTCTTGGTTTATTAAGGTCTGTGTCTCTACTAGTCCCTAATACAAAGTCTTTTTAGACTCCCCTCTTCTTTAGTCTAGGATAGATGGATTATACAATAATTATCGTTTTCGAAAAAAAAAACTCCAAAAAAAATAACCCCTCCCCCCCCCGCCCTAGGCGGCCCAAAAAAAAAAAACAACTCTGGAGGTGTCTATTGCCACGAGTGCCTAGGTACTGAAAAACTGTCCTAACATTTTGTCATTCACGTCCACTTCTTCTACTGTAAAGAAAGTAATGTGACTTAATAACTCTGTCGATTCAAAATCACTGAGCTTAGCTCATTGGCCACCAAGGTGAGTCTTAAGATCCTGCTTGGACTATAAGTGGGGGTTTAAATTCCACCTACAGTAAAAAAAAATTTCAGAGTTATGCCAAAATACTCTCTTGGTTTATTAAGGTCTGTGTCTCTATTAGTCCCTAACACAAAGCTTCTTTAGGCTTCCCTCTCCTCTAGTCTAGAATAGATAGGTTATATAATAGTTGTCGTCTTTGGAAAAAAAAAAAAAATCTCCGGAAAAAATAACCCCCCTTGCGGCCCAAAAAAAAAAAAACTCTGGAGGTGTCTATTACCACGGATGCCCTGGTATTGGGGCTGCAAATGAGTCGAGTCGAGTCGAGTTTTGGCCTTATCGAGTAGAGCCTTGACTTAATTTCATCGAACTCGAGCTCGAGCTCGACGAGCTGGCAATTTTGAAGCTCGAGCTCGAAAAAAATAAAAATAATTATTTTATTTTTTTAATAAATAAATAAAATAATATTTTTTCTTAATAAATAATAAAATATTAAGGATATTTATGTAATTTTACTATTAAAATTAAAAAATATAAAATATATATACTTAAAATAAAAAAAATTATATATATACTTAAAATATATATATATATATATATATATATATATATATATATATTCGAACTCGCGAGCCTAACGAGCTTAATATTTTGAGCTCGAGTTCGAGCTCGAATTAGCTCGAACTCGACTCGAGCTGCTCGCGAGCGGCTCGATTCGTTTGCAACCCTATCTGGTGTCGAAAAACTGTCATAACATTTTGTCATTCACGTCCACTTCTTCTACTATAAAGAAAGTAATGTGACTTAATAACTCTGTCGTTTCAAAACCACTGAGCTTAGTTCAGTGGTCACCAAAGTGGGTCTTAAGATCCTGCTTGGGTTATAAGTGGAGGTTTAAATTCCACCTGCAGTAAAAAAAAAAATCCAAGGTTATGTCAAAACACTCTCTTGATTTATTAAAGTCTGTCTCTACTAGTCCCTAACAGGAAGCCTCTTTAGACTCCCCTCTCTTCTAATCTAGGATAGATAGATTATACAATAGTTGTTGTCTGCGAAAAAAAAAAAAAACTCCTGAAAAGATAACCCCACTTGCACCCCAAAAAAAAAAAACCTCTGGAGGTGTCTACTGCCACGGATGCCTTGGTACCAGAAACTGTCCTAAAATTTTGTCATTCACGTCCACTTCTTCTACTATAAAGAAAGTAATGTAACTTTAATAACTCTGTCGATTCAAAACCACTGAACTTAGTTCAATGGCCATCAAGGTGAGTCTTAAGACCCTGCTTGGGCTATAAGTGGAGGTTTAAATTCCACTTACAATAAAAAAAATTTCAAGATTATATGCCAAAATACTCTCTTGATTTATTAAGGTCTGTGTCCCTACCCCCTACTAGTCCCTAACACAAAGCCTCCTTAGGCTCCCCTCTCCTCTAGTCTAGGATAGATAGGTTATATAATAATTATCGTCTCTAGAAAAAAAAAAAAAAACTGTCATTTTAAACTTTGGAATTGACACAAACTCTGAAGTAAGTGTAACTTAATAACACTTCCATAAGAAAGGGACAATAGAATTAAATATCATACACTTCCATAATGGGATTTGGCCATTGTTCTAAAGAGGGAAACTAAACATCTATATGAGCTTAAAATACTAGACAACCTTTCTGGTTACAGAGGTTTCTAAGAGAATAAATAAGAATGAGATTTCGAGCACAACTGATTATTGGAATAATGGAAGGCAAAATGTTCAGATCTGTTGCATTTCTTATTCTCAAAAATACATTCCAACCACTTTCTACATCATGATTACGAAAAGAAAAGGAATCCATGAATAAAGCCCCATTTGGTTTATTGGAGATTTCTCTGTTTTACAATGTCCAACTCGTCCAATTTGTTCCTCCAAAAGACAGCACTTTGGTGTCCGCTGAAATAAGTTGGACTAGGTTTCAAGGGAACTGGGGTAAATTCTTAAGCACCGAAAAGTTCAAATTCGACAGCATCGAAAGCCAATGAAAGTCGAGAAATAACTGTACAAAAGGGCAGATAGGCAATCCATAACTGTTAACTGCTTATGTGGCATTTCCTAGCTGGCTTAGCAAATGCAGGTTCAGAACAATATTAAGACTCGGCAACTGGGATTAACTGTCTTTACTTCATATTAGCTTGGGTTCCTGAGAGAAGCAAAACCTTGGTGTGGTTGAAAAGCACTGACGCAAATTCCAAGGGAATTTAGGATGATAACAAACTTCATTTCCAACTCTGGATGAACACAAAAGAGGCTCCGAGTATTCTCAGGCGCTTCCCAGCAACAACAGCTGCTGTGCTGCAAAGCTATAATCATGTGGTCAAGATTAAAGTAAAAAGAACACAGAGGAAAATAAACCAGATATCCCCAATATGAACACACCGCAGGGCCCAAGAAGGCTAAGGGGGAGCACTGATGCAAGCAAGTCAAGTCAAGGAAAGGGGAATTACACCATAAACTGGAACTTAGGAATTATTCAGCAAATCAGAAGTTTGGGATTCAATAGAGCCAAACCACAAATGAAAACTGCTAGAAATTCAAGGGCTTCTAGCCATGTTTGTAGATGTTGGCTTGTTCTCGGCTGATTATTTTGATTATTTCTTGGCTTGTTCATGTTTGTGATGTTCTTATTTGGTTTTGTGTTCAGATTATAGATTTTTTAATAACCAAGAAAGCTAAAATCCACAATCAACAAAAGAGTTGCTTTTGCTGATTCTAATTATTCCTATAATCACTTTCCATAATTAGATTTTACAAAATCTAAAGCAACTGAGAACAAGGCCAAAGTAAAAGATCTCAATCACCAACCAGAATATTTGGTGATGCCATGGCAAAAATGAGGTCAGAGGCTTATTGGAAGTCAAATCAAGAAGATTCGCCAGAGCACCAGCCATTCTGATGGAGACCTTATGTATCTTCTTTTTTCCCTGGCAAGGGGATTATCTTAGTATCTCCAATTTTTGAATATTAATAACACAGAATAGCTGTCATTATTATGGAATGGGAAACAATGGCCATTGAGTCAACCGACCATTATGAGAAAGAATTCAAAATTAAGTTCCAAACTTTGCTTAACCTGGTCTAAATGTGTCAGTCGAAAGGAGAAATATTAGGAAGTTGTCTAGACCATTATTTTGCAAGATTTGAGAATTCGTAAGCTCTGACTACCCCAAGAATATATTATACTCAATTAACTACTACTTTTCTATCAATGACAGACATGGTATGAATAGCCACTGGAGACTAATACTTGAAGCCCATATTCCCCAAGCCCAAACTACCAATTTAGAAATATAAGCGTTGCACCTCTAGTTTTTCAATTTGCATTCTCCAGTGATGGATAGATTTCTTGCATTTTTTTTTGGGGGACCATAAATTCAACCTGTGCTGTGTACAGAAAAGGATGGAACAAGCAAATTATAACTAAAGAAAGCAAATTAATAAAAACGAGAATATCCAAATGAACAGTAGATATCTTCACCATATCAGCCACAAGGAACTAATCAAAGTATTAAAGTGCACATAAGTAATTACTGCTATTACCTATAGCAAACAACATACATGATTTAATGCAAAAGCAGAAATCAGGGCCAAACCAGAATGCTCCTGGGACATGCACAATGATGCATGACATAGGGAAATACAAGCAGAATTTGGGAAAAAAACAAAATTAATGGCCACAGTAATATCGGTGAAAGAATCTGTCTGATATCTAGCTAACAGATCACCATTCAAACGCTACTTCACCTATAAGATCACATGAACAGAATTTGACAGAACTGAAAGAAAAGGCAACATAGTAGTTAGTGTTTCACTTTTTTTTTTTGGGGTGCTTCACGTCTTTATCTTCATGTTGGATCATTTCAGACAAGTGTTGGTAGTGCAAATAGGGAGTTGTGTAACAGGGACATGGAGAACAATTGAGAAGGAAAAGAGAGACTTACTTGAGGGTTGAAGGAACCTTGATTAAACTACTGGAAATTCAGCAACAAATTGAACAAAAGGTTGTATGACATTCCCCAAACCAGGATCTTTCCATTGCAACAACTTCCACCACTCCAGCTCTTCTTTCAAGATTTCAACAGCTCTAAAGGCCGGGGGAGGATTTGGTTGTCCACCGATGCTGGAAAAAGACAGAGGCATCCTTGCAAGATTTTTACACCCCATTAACCTTATATTCTCAATTGAATCACAGATTATTGTTCCCTCACAGATGCTCCTTAGTTTTGGTAGATGTTGTAAAGTCAACTTTTTAAGCCTTGGGAAGTTGATGTAGGTTATGAATGAGTGTTGGTCATCGTCACTTGGACTGAAAACCATGTTGCCACCTTCCTTATCAGCTATTATCTCTTCCAATCTATCACAAGACAGTACTTCAACTACTTCCAGATTTTGCAGGTGCTGCAGCAACCATGGTGTGAATATTGTTGTCATCGTATTGCACCGGCTGATGCTAATCGATTTTAGATGGCAAAAGATCCTACATGGAGGACGGTCAAACTCAATTTCGCATTTGAAAAGTCCAACAAAATTTGGCAAGAAATGGAGACTCAAATGCTCAATGCTTTCCAGGGGGGCCCAAGGAGATAATATTCTCTTTCCAACTAGTTGGTCATCAGAAGAGGATACCTTCATGATGCACTCTAGTTCAGGACAATTGTCAATTAAACAGCCAGTCAAGCCACTTTTTTGAATATTGAACAATGAAAAAGCAGTAGTTAAGCAGGTGCCTAGGCCGTGACATTTTATTATAGCAAGTTGTTGAATGTCCTCTGGCAGCACTATGGCATTCTTTCCTTCTAGTTCCATGCCCCTAAGCGTCACCTTCTTGTTAGTTATTTGGCATGGACCTGGAGACAGAAACCTTAACTGGCTCAGACTTGGTCTCACTTCAATAGTATAAAAAATGGGAGTTTCATAGCTCTGGTGATACCTAACAAAATGACAAAGAGTGTCTATATCATAAAATCCACCTTGAAATTCTTCCAGATGTTTCAGTGCCTTTAGTTCTTCTACTCTGACTTCCACATCTTCTGGAATCCGAAGGCTTTGAAGATGGGAGAGTCTGTATATTGTACCATCTGGAATCATCCTCAACCCTGTCCTATCCATGTTTAGGCAGTTCAGATTGACCAATCTTTCCATGCCTTCAGGTACATTGTTGATAGCAGTATGGCATAAATCTAACTCCCTTAATGCCTTGAGCTTCCCTATTGGCGGTACAAAACTGAGTCTACAACAATCAAACAGTAACAGTGCAGTAAGGTTCCCCAATTGTGAAATACTGTTTGGCAGCATTTCAAGTTCACAGTTGCGGCTTAAATTCAGAACTCGGAGGGCTCTCAACCGAAAAAAGAATGAATCAGGAATTAACCTCAATGGATTACTCGCCAAATTCAAGCTTGAAAGTTTAGGACAGTTAGGTGATGTGCCTGACGAAATTAATGATATGTTGTTATGTAGCAATGAGACCTTTTCCAAGTCCCCTTTCCATTCAATCTCATCTGGTATATGTTTCAAGCATCTTCCAGATTTTACCATATACTTACTGTCAAAGTCCATTATCGTTAGTGCCATATCTCTTATCAAACAATGCATCTTGACACATTCAGTTTCTCTATAATTACTCACATTAACTTCAGTATGGCTTTCCAATAAGCATATACTTTCAAGTCTTTTCAGCATCACATGACCCTGGTCAAATAACGATAGCCTTGATCTTCTTTTATCCATGACTCCTTCCAAAATCAACAATCTTATTAATTCATCCCTTGGAATTTTGTAGTTTTCAGGGTAGAAAGAGCAATACAAGAAGCATTCCTTCAGTCTGCTATCTCTCAAGTGATTAAAACTGAGATGTAAGCTATCAAAGAGATTGCCATTTTGCCCAAGAAAAGATCCTTCCAACTCTTCCAAGGCTTCCCTCCACTCATGAATGTCATCCACTCCCTTCATGTTTCCAGCCAAGGTGATAATCCCTAGTGGCAGACCACCGCATCTTTGAACCATAGACTTCGCAATCTCCTTTACATCCAAAGGAAGTTCAAGTGAAGGGCGAAGTTTCTCCAGAAACAATGTCCAAGCTTCTTTCTCGCAAAGAGGTTTGACTTTTATTTCCTTTTGGCAACCGACTTGATGACACACTTCTAATGATCGACTGGTTACTATCAACTTGCTTCCATCTAAACCTAAAGGAATTCCAATTTTATTTATGTCAAATGGGATCCATACATCATCCAATATGATCACAAAATCTTCCATTCTGCTTAATGCCAGGAACAATTTGGCTGCCCTTTTCCTCTCATCTTCCTCATTTGAGAGATCCACATTTATGGCTATGGCAACACTGTCCTGTAATTTATGGATGGTCCCCTCTTGTGAGGCAGTAACCCAGTAAACTTTATCAGAGAATTTAGTTCCAATGACAAAATCCTCATAGATACGTTTTGCTAAAGTTGTCTTGCCTACTCCTGCCATACCATATATTCCAACACTTGAGATCCCATCATTCATAAGCCATGCCCAGATTTCTTTCAAATTTGTTTCAATTTTTTGGCCTTGCCACTCTGTTTCTACTAGCAGCCCATCAGGCAAAATCTCCTCTAGAGATGCACCCAGCTCTGTAACTTCCTTAATCATTTTATCAGCATGTTGCACCATCTTCAAACGCGCATATATACTGTAAAAGCTAGCTTGCTGGGCTTGTTCTTTGAGGCTTCCAAATTCTATTTTTATTTCATCTACTGCTTTAAGCCACTCTTCAACTGCCCTCTTCCTTTTCTTTCGCAGGTGTGACTGTGCACCTTGGACTCTCGCGATCATATTGTCCCATTGATGCCTCAAATGATCAAGTTCTTTTTGAACATGTTGCATCTTCTTCTCAAGGGAAATGTAACCACGTAATGGTCTGATACCAAGGTCTATAAGTTTATTAGCCATGTTCCCTACCCAAAAATAAAAAAAGAGGAACAATTAACTTGGTTTCCCAAAAACTAAAGACAAAACATCAAAGGTTTTTGAAAGCATATAAGCCTTACGAAATCAGTTTATGGATATTATAAAATTCCTCAATGAAATTGCTGACAATGTCAGAGTTAGTATCTAACAATAAATTCATGATGAGCTTCACGGACATTACTCCTTGGCCAACTCTGTTTTTATAGTTCAAGGATTATTTTAATAATATGTTTTTACTTTAATTGATTTTACTTGTAATGCATCTCTGACACAATACATACAGAATCCTCTTGAAAAGGTGTATTTGAACTGTTTGGATTTGATACCCTACAGGCCAAGTCCATTGGAGTTGTTTGGATAACTCAAGACTCTTCAGATTTAGAATCCACCGTAAGTCCCAAAGGATTTCACCTATTAGAAACGATTGGAATGGAAATTCATTCAACTAATGTCATTTGAAATTCCTCTCTCTAACTCTTTCTATGATTTCAATCTACCAATCAGCGCAATCTCATATTTCTTTTCCTTCTCTTTCTTTCTATTTGTTTTCTTTAGCCATTCTCGCTTTCGAACAAGGCAAAAAACAAGGCAAAAAACAAAGTCTCTGTTAATCCTGTATAATCGCCACATACAAGATAGCAAATTTACCAAGAAGAATTACAGACCAAGTAGGTGTTTGAATTCTGATTGAACCACATGAGTCACTTTTATCAATTTGGCTATGGAAGGAATGTTAGTTGTGACTATAGGTGTCAAACAAACCCATTTAGTTAAATTTACCCATATCCGCCCATGAATAGTTGGGTATAAGTATCTTAAGTTTTTATATATGGGTACAAATAGGTTATCCAATAATACCCATTTACTAAATTGGTATAATTGGGTAACCCACCAAACCCAACTAACCTATTTAGAATTGTCTTCACAATCACATCCATTTAGAATTGTGTTCAACAATAGTATTTTAATTTCTTCAGCACCTTTGACCAAACGTAGCACCAGAAAATGGAGAACCTAATGAAAATGTGGGAGAATCTGTTGGCTAGTTTTCAACTTAAAAACAAAAAATAACTATACACTCGGAGATTTTTCTATCGTGTTTTCATTAGTGTTTTCCTAGTATCCAGTTTCAAGTTCTTAGATTCTTCATTTTTTTATAATGTTAACTACTTTTGTTTCAATTATTATTATTATTTGTTGGTTTTATCTCAGCATTTTATTTTCTCGTAGTTTGTTAACTTACTCATTTTTCAGCATTACCAATTTATGACAATCTTTATCCTCCTCTCCTACCTTCCAAAATGAAAATTTAAATTTACACACAGAAAAAAATGTTAGGGGTTAAAAGTTTTTGGATTAAGTTTTTATGTTAACTTTCATATTATTTAGTTCAAAATTTTATATTCTTATTGTTCAATTATTAAACAGTATGCAATTTTGCGACATAGCGTACGGATGAAAAAAAATGGTAATTAGACTTATTGGGCATTACAAGTAGCTATTTAAAATTAATGATAGATGCAAACTGCAAAGGGCGGTATAAATTGGTAATTTAGTTTACAAAATAAATTTAGATGGGTCTATAAAAAATTAGAATAATTGGGTTATAAATGAGTAATTGAATTACTCAACTCATTTTTTGACTTATCCATTTATAACCATCTAATTAAATGGGCATAAATGGGTTGACTCATTTATACTCGTTACCTATTTTAACCCACCCAAGTCACCCATTTTGACACCTCTAGTTGTGCCCTTGCATTAGCTCAACAAAACTTTGTTGTGTGAACTAAGAAAACCATCATTATTTTTTTACCAAAATTGGGATTAATCTTCAAGCAAGCTTTTATCTTAGGGATGTTTAGACGAAAGCCAATCAGGAGTTTGAGTATATGCCTAAACCCCAAGAAGGTCCATGTGTACCACGCGACATGCCATATAGTGTAGTAATACCAATTATTGACCACGATGCGCCCTACCTTGTCTACTACCTGCTAGACAAGGTATGACCCACCAACATTACTTGGTGATCAGTTATTGATACCAAGGTTTGCAAAATCGGGATCTTATGTAGGATCAATTTTAGTTTCATAGGATCGGATCATTGGATCGTAAGATCCCACCAAAAACTCCCAAATTAACTAAATTAATTAATTTGAAGTTCATATACAACTTTGTACAACCAAAATGATATCAAATAAGTAAATTATTTATAAACATATAGCATGTTTTACCTATAGTTTGACAAGCAATAAAGAAAAAGAATATAAACAGTTATAAATTATGATTACAAGTTTTAAACCCAAATGCTTTACAGTTTACACAACAATAATTTCAAATCTAAAATAAGCGTTAATCTCCAACAATAATAAAAAGTCATAACTTCCCTCCAACATTAAAATCATTAATTATTTACGTATCTCAATTATTTTTAGACCTTTTTTGACCTCTAGTAAAACCGAGACTTCTAGTAAAATCTAGACCAACATAGAAGAATAAACACCATTAACACAACTTCAAATGCAATTCACAAGAATATTAAGTAATACAAGGACAACAAATATTAGAAACAAGCACTAGAATAAAATCCACAACTATATATATTTTAATGTCACAAAATAGCTACAAAAAAAAAAAAGAAAGAAAAGCAACGGAACCCTAAAATGAAAAAAAAAGGTCTGGGCATCTTGTCTAATTAAAAATAAGAATACAACCCATCTTAACACTTAATATTAAAAGCATTTAGTACACATATATAGCTGATAGGCATAATTAAAAAAAAACAATCAAATTAGGGGTTACGGGTACTCGCGGTTGTTTTCGTTGGGCGACTTCTTCTACTAGAAATTCCTTGAGTTTAAACAAGGATACAAAGTCAATAGAGAATTAGAAATGGGAGATTAGCAAAATTTTGGAAAATTTTATTGGAATCTAGATGGAAAAGAAGTTTGGAATGGAGATGGGGAAAAACCAACGAGGATTTCTCTCTTTTCGTCCTTTGTGACTTTGTCTCTGTTTGTTTCATTCATTTGTTCCTGAAACTTTTGTTTTTGAGATAAAAATTGTTACAAAATTATAATTAAGGGATCTAATTCTTTGATAAGTTACAAACCTGCTCCAAATGTTTCCATTTAGTTTCAAAATTTAGCCCCACATTTACAAAATTTTCAAAACTTCATAGGATCGCAATGGGATCATAGGATTGTACAATCCTATGTACGATCGTATGATTCCACTAACGATTCTAATGATCCTATGCATATTAAGGCAATTTTTGATTCTATGCATGATCCATATCGATTTTGCTGATCCGAATCGTAGGATCGTACGATCCTACGATCTGGATCGCGATTTTGACAACCATGATTGATACCAATGCACCACATAGCAATGTCAACTGGTGCACATGGAGCATCTGATAATTTTGCCCTAAACCCCGATTCACTTTTTCGCTACAAAGGTCTGAATCTGGTGAGTTTATTGTCATGCGATGAGCAAGCTTGGGCTTGGCAAATATGAGAAGTAATGGTACCTGGTCTTTTTTATTTTTTGGATTTTTTCACATTGCATCTAAATCAGATTTCATCATTTTATGATTAAACAAGGTTCAGTACTGAACAATGGGTTTAACTAATTTGTTCAAATGCTTTTTGTTTTCAAACGATTTATTCCAATCCATAAGCATCCATTTGAAATTCTTCATAAAACCCTGATAAATCCTTGCTGATTGAATCCAGATTGAAAAAGCTCAACACTCGTTCCTGTATGCAACTTTTCAAATCACTTGCTCACTTTACTAATCAGTTGAAACAAATACATCCTAACATTGCAATGAAGAACAGGCAAATTATTTGCTTTTAAAAAATTGGTAAAATTAACCAAGAACAAAAACAAGACAAGGAACCATTACAATGAAAACTACCCCTAAGCAATTCCCAACAAGAAATTAACCAGAAAAACCAAGAAAAACAAAAAACCAAAAAAAAAAAATTCAGCTTAATCTGAAATTATTCATGCTTTTTGGAAACCTAGAACTAAAAAATTCTTCGTACATTTGAATTCAAAATTAATCAGACACAGAAAATTCATCGAAAATCATAAAACGCAAACAATAATTGTCGTATTACCTCAAATGCTGCGCTGAAATTCACCAAACTTGATGGAGAGAAGCTGGTGCCGCCTGGACGATCTGGAAGAACAGATGCCGATAAAAATTTCTCCAGAAATGTATAGTGAAGTAAATACATGAGTCCGAGTTGACTCAAATGACGAAAGGCCAAGACTTTCAGGTGGGAACTTGGAAGTCAATAGCGGTAAAATGTGAAGAAATTTCCTGCAGTTTTCTTCGAAATTCTGTAGGGTAATATTGCCGTTAACCCCCTGTTGTTATAAGCTTGTGTGATTTTGCCTCCTAAATTTTACTTATCATCAATTGACTTGAGGCACAAAAGGTAGGAAAATTTTGCGGTCCTTTTTGGGTATCAGTCCCTCAATATATATCTTAGTGATTTATAATTTAAAATTTTAAAATTATTACAATCTAAGATTCAAAAACACTTATTGTGCCATCCAATATGCATATCAACATAATGAGTCTGCAATTTCTATTTGCAAAGTCACTAATTGATAATTTAGTGCTGTTGAAAAATTGATAAGTGGTACAACAACTATCAATATTATATTATAAGCTTAGAAAAAAATCTTTAGGAGTCTAGATGCTTAAGACGCAAGCACTGGTTGAATGGATCTAGAGCTCACAATTTGTAACTTGTGCATCTAAATTTTTACAAAAATTACAATTACATCGAAAATGTACGAATTTACACCGATGTTGTTAGATTGAAACAACTGGTTTGAGATAGAACTTGTGAGGCCTCAAATCCGTCATTGAATTCTACAAGTTATTATTATTGTCGGGATGCCCTAAAACATCGGGAGTATAAAAATCCAAAATCCAAATGGAAAAAAAGATAGCAATCTTGGAAAAAAAAAAAAAAAGGAAAGGAAAGGTAGAACACCATAGCAGATGTCATGTGCATGCCATGTGGACCAAAATGACTAATAAGCCTGGATGGTGAAAGCCTGCAATTAGTTGAATGGATCCGGAATCTCACAAGCTGATTTATTGTCTAGTTCAAATCGGTCGTGTAATTTTTACAACATGCGATGTAAATTGACATAGTTTTTGGTGTAAAATTTGACATTGTAACTCATTCGTCTAAGTTTCTACAAAAATTACAATTACATTGAGATTGTACGAATTTATGCCCAATGTTGTTAGATTGAAACAACTGGTTTGAGATAGAACTTGTGAGGCCTCAAATCCCTCGTTGAATTCTACAAGTTATTATAATTGTTGGGATGCCCTAAAACATTAGGAGTATAAAAAATCCAAAATCCAAATGGAAAAAAAGATAGCAATCTTGAAAAGGGGAAAAAAAAAAAAAAAAGGGAAAGGAAAGGTAGAGCACATAGCAATGTCACGTGCATGCTATGTGGACCAAATGACTAATGAGCCTGGAGGGTGAAAGCATGCAATTAGCAACTTCAAAGAAATGTCCTTCACTTCAGGAAATTATTCTTGTAAATTCAATTGGATTTACGGGTCGTCTTCCGGTCTTCGCCGTGTAGAAGTGTACAGATTACGCGGTTAAGCAATTTGTGACTTTCGGTCATTGACCTTGGTCAATGCGTCGATGGAGATTGGAGATGATAGGAGGAAATTTGCTCTCATTTTCCCTGTAAATTCCTAGGAAGGTGGGTCTTAGTACCAAAGGGAAAAAAAAATTGTAAAAAAGAATCTTGGTAGCAAAACAAGTTGACTTTTGTAGAGTGTGTGTCTATATACACACACACATACACATGTATATATATATATATATATATGTATACACACACATACATATATGTGTTTGTGTATATGTGCATGTGTGTGTGTGTAATGTACATTTTGAGGATAAATTTGTAGATTTCTATTGAAATTTTTTTCTCCAAGTTACGGAGGCAGAGATTTAAGAAAGAGAGAGGATGAAGGGAGATTTGAATTGAAGAGCTCTAAGTTTGGGAGTCTCAACTTTATCAATTAGACCAAGACCTTCTTAACGCAAGTACTTTTGTGTGTGTGTGTGTGTGTGTGTGTGTGACGTACATTTTGAAGATCAATTTGTAGTAGATCACTTTTTAAACAAGGTATAATAACCTGCTTAAAGAGGTGGCCCCTAAGATGCAGTATTTACAAATTATTACAATAATAATGCAGTTCAAGCTTGACCCTTTTCCACTAATCACAGTATGTATGTTAATCTGGTGATACAAGTTTGTAACAAATATTTATAACACTCATACCAGAATATATATATATATACAACATTTGGATTGCCATTTTCTGCCAGAAAATTGCATCGTTTTCTGTGATCACATTTTCCTATTATCTTTTCCCCTCACATATATCAAATCGGTACAGTAATTTTTTCATAAAAAATGATGGAAAATACAATCCAAACGGACGATCATAAATCCTCTTATTTTCATTGATCTACTATATATATAAGTTTAATATGCAGCACAGTACAGATACTTGTACTTAATTCTGGACTTGGACTTGGGACAGCCAATAATTCAACCGCAACTCAAAAAAAAAGAAAAATTCAACCGGTTTTAACGGCCTTGTGCTTTTTCTAACCGACTGAAGAGTCTTGTCCAGTGCCTATATATTGCAGATAAATTCTTCTGACATTATTAGTAAATCATTCGGTGATGCGACCAAGATTCAACCAGAAAAGATAATTATCATGATTAGCAAGTTTGATTTGTGATTATTTTGTGTAGTTAAAAAAAATGAAAAAGTAAACTCTGCTAGCCAAACGTAGTAACAGTCATTTGTATGTTTTAGATTAATACAAAGTACAAAATATATATTGATCCACTTGAAGCACATTATAGGATTTTAATTTTCTTTTTTGCTTCTGGGGTAGAAAACATGGCAAGAATTCAATAGCAGGAAGAAAACATGTGATCTAAATTGACACAACTTTTTGTATAAAATTTGAGTTTGTAACTTATACAACTAAAGTTTCTACAAAAATTACAATTACATCGAAATTGCACGAATTTACTACGCCCGATATTGTTAGCTTGAAACAATTGGTTTGAACTGAAACTTGTGATGTAAATTGACCACAATTTTGGTATAAAATTTAAGTTTGTAACTTATACAACTAACTTACATCGAAATTGCACAAATTTACACTCGATATTGTTTGATTGAAACAACTAGTTTGAACTAGAACTATTTACACTTGATGTTGTTAGATTGAAACAAGAACTATTTACACTCGATATTGCCAGATTGAAACATCTAGATTGAACTAAAACTTGTGAGACCCCAAACCCTAGTTGAATTTTGCAAGTTATTATAATTGTCGGGATGCCCTGAAAACATTAGCTGATTATTTTCCCAAATGTATTTGCTTACATCATCATTACAGTTTCCAATACACTTTTTTATCTTCCCAATTACCTTTTTATCTCACATACATCACATCACAAAAAGTGTTACAGAAAAAATATCTCAAATAACTTACAATCCAAACAAACCACCAAATCCAAATGGAAAAAAAGATAGCAATCTTGGGGAAAAAAAAAAAGGAAAGGAAAGGTACACGATAGCAGATGTCACGTGCATGTCAGGTGGACCAAAATGACTAATGTGCCCGGAGGATGAAAGCATGCAATTAGCAACTTCAAAGAAATGTCCTTTATTTTGCTGGAGTGAAGGAAATTTTTCTTGGAAATTTAATCGGATTTACCTGTTATCTTCGGGCCTTCCTTGTGTAGAAAAGTATGCAGGATTACGCGGTTAAGCAATTAGCAAATTTCAGTCATTGACCTCGGTCGTCAATTGAGATTGGAGATAATAGGAGGAAATTTCTTTCTTTTTCCCTATGAATTCCTTGGAGGGTGGGTCTTAGTACCAAAGGGAAAAAATTTGTAAAAAAGAATCTGGGTAACAAAGCAAAGTGACTTTTGTGCAGAGAGAGAGAGAGAGAGAGATTATGTGTGTACACACACACATTTTGAAGATAAATTTGAAGACAAACTGTTTTTTTTAAAAAAAAATGGGGAGGGAGGGATCTAAGAAACAAGAAGGATGAAAGCGATTTGAACCCAAGAACTCTAAGGATACGTTTAATAAAGTTGAAGTTTGAAAACTGAAATTTGAAATATGAATCCATTAAATTACTAAATTATTAAGTATTAAGATGTGCATTTGATAAAACTGAAACATGAATCTATTAAGTTATTGATTTTTAAGCACTAAATCTGATACATTCGGGTGTATATCATATTAAGTGCTAAGTGAATAACTTATCACCTATTTTTAGGAGTAAGTTTTGCCTTAACAATTCAATGCCACTTAATTAATTCAGATGTTCAATTTTTTGTTATCAAACGTGTCTGAACAAGTTAAGATCCGAATATATTAAATTTAAGTGATGAATTGGATTATCAAACAGAGGTTAAATTTGATACATTGAGCGTATATCACATTAAATGTTAAGTGAACTGCTTATCATTTATTTTTTACAGCAAATTTGGCCTAAAAAATTCATTGCACTTGATTAATTCAGATCTTCCTGGTTATCAAACACACCTAAACATATTAAGATTTTAGCTCATTAAATTTAAGTATTAAATTTGGTTATTAAACATGACCTTAGGTCTCAAGTTTAGCAATTAGACCAAAGCCTTCTCAACGTAGGTACATCTGTGTGTGTGTGATGTACATTTTGAAAATCAATTTATTGGCGCTTTTAAACAAGGTAAATCCTGTTTAATGAGGTGGCCCAAGGTGCAGCATTTACAAATTATTACAATAATAATGCAGTTGAAGGCTTCAAGCTTGACCTTTTTCCACTACTCACAGTAGGTAGCTTTTTATAGGCAGCACACCGCAGACACATGTACTTATTCTTCTTAATTCTGAACTTGGACTTGGGGTAGCCAATAATTAAACCGTCCTTTTTAACCAACAGAAGAGTCCTGTCAAATGCCTAGTGCAGATAAATTCTTCTGACATTATTAGTAAATCATTTGGTGATGCAACCAAGATTCAACTAGAAAAGAAAAATATCATGATTAGCAAGTTTGATTTGTGATTATTTGTGTAGTTATGAAAAATTAAAACTATACTAGCCAAACGTAGTAACTTGTCATTGTATGTTTTAGATTTTTTTTTAGGTATCCCTGCAAGGAGTGGATCCCGCAGACTAAATTCTCTGTCTCCCGTAACTTGCTGGCAACGAGGCTCGAACTAGAGACCAAGCCCCGTCTTCAGCAACCCCATGCCACCAGACTAAGCCTCGGGGGCATTGCATGTTTTAGATTAATACAAAGTACAAAATATATATTGATCCACTTGAAGCACATAATAAGATTTTAATTTCCTTTTTTTTTTTTTGGTAGAAAGCATGGCAAGAATTCAATAGCAGGAAGAAAATTATCTGAATTTTTTTCAATCACTTTCCATAACTACGTGTTTCCAATTTTCATGTTTGCATGATGATGCCTCATGCTGAGACCATGTATCCCTAGACCAAAAGTAAATCTCCAAGAGAGCTTCTGATCATTTTCCTCCTCTTTTCAGTGCTGTGTCTATAAACCAAAAAACCATTACAACTTTTGGAAAAAGAACATACAATACAACTCCTAACGCCTCATTCTCCTCCTCCCTCTTTCATCATATCCCGGTGAAAGACTCCCTTCTTCTACCTTCGTTGTTCTCTAGCTAATGCTGTTGAGTACTCCTAATCATATCACATCTTTGTTCCATTATTCTCTGACAGGTTTCTTGGCTATTTGGTTCAGTAGTTTTAGGGTAAAAAGACAACCCCTTTTGGTTCTGTTATTGCACTGTTTGCAGCTTCTTGTAGTTTGCATATCTTTGTCACAACAAGCAGTTCATTTACTTTGCCCACCAGAATTTTCTAAAAAGGTATGTTACCTCTTCTTTCACGTTTCTTGACCAAAATACTCACAAAATATAGAAACCTTATCCTTTATTCTCCGCTCAATTTTTATTTATTATTGTCTTTATCTTTTTAATTCTTAATAACATTTTTCTTCAATGCTTAAATATATATATTCTTATTTTTTTCAAGGAGAATATATACTTATTATAAATTCATATAAGAAAAGCATAAAAGTTTTAGCAATTTTCTTTTTTTATTAGTGATTCCTAGTTGTTAGAATTGATTACTAGAATTAACTTTTCTAACTTTGCATTTTATTAACAATTAATGCTTTGCCAAGAAATTAGTAATTTGTTTTGAACAAGAACTATACCAATGATAAATTAATTGTTAACAAATGTCGAAATCACATAAACTACACTATAAATGAGAGAAAATGCTAATTCAAATCAAAATTTTATTTGAATATATACATACAAATATAAAATAAAATGCATTGGCAACATCAAAAAAAAGGAAGAAGAAAAAGGTTTTACCAAACTTATAAGAAAAAGAGTATGAAAGTTAAAACTTATAAACAGAGTGAAACTTAAAAGAAAAAAACATATAAAGTTTTAGATTAATCTTCTATATACTGAAAGTGTATATACTTTTATCATTAGATGCATGATATATAATATAAATTTAAATTCGAAATTTAAATTTTACATATGTATCATACATCTAATTATGATAGTGTGTACACTGCCGCCAATACGTATAAGATTAACTTTAAAGATGTTGGTTTCGCTTATTCATTTAATTGATATTTCTACTTGGCATTTGTGCAAGGTTTTAGTACTCAAAGTTGGACTCCAACTGGTGCAACTTGATGGTCCTAGCACGGCTGCTGATATTTGACTTCACTATACTTGGCTGACGACCGGACTCCTGACCACAGATCCATCTAGGCTACACGCCACTCTTGTAGTTTAGATAAGGTTAGATTTCCATTATGCATGTGACTGAGTAATGTTCTCGTTTTTCCATATGTACTGGAAGTTAGCTTTTTGTCTCTCTCCAATCCATCACTTCTATTTTATTTTGCATTAATAAAATTTGGATTGGCCCTGTCTCCGAGGTTTGCGTTAAAAAAGAAGAGCATAAAACAACGGGGGCATATTTATCCAAGATATTATAAGTGGAGAATCATCAGAAGGTTAGTGGTGCTAGTTATCGCAAGGAAATTTTTATATTTTTTAAAAATATGAAGAAAATTGCTACATACTCCTATTTATATCGGTGCAATCTGTAATTAATTCAAAATATATATCTCAATCAAAGGTAGGGTATAAGAATCATTTCATCACTATTGATGTTAGTATTAGGCCATAATTGGCTGACAAAGAAGATAGGTTATATTTTTTTAAACTTGAGAAGAGGGCAGCGTTATGGTGAGAAAACTTCAAAGGAGATTTTTGAAATTATCCTTAAAAATTGGTGTTTAAAAGTGTTTTTGAAGGTGTCATACTGTTGCCCCCTCCATTCCTCGCCCTTCCCTCACCATCCTTTGCACCGCTGGATACGGGATCTGGACGATTTTGAGTAATAACCGTTCGGAACAATATAATATTTTTGGAATAAAGTATAACTCTACTTGAACTACTTGTAAGATCTAACAATAGAGACACAATTATTACATATGAGACCCACATGAATAGTAATAAAATATCATACATCTATTATAAGGATGTACAAGAAATTTACAAAGAGTTACAATGTTACACTATTCAGGAATGGTCTCTGCCGCGCGTCCTCATTAGGGTGGCAAACGAATCGAGCGGCTCGAGTCCGAGCTCAACTGAACTCGGTCAACATCAAACTCGAGCTGACTAAGTCAAATTCGAATTCGAAATCAAGTTCAAAAATACTAAATTCGTTAGTTCGCGAGTCGGTTCGAGTTCAATTATACATATATATATATATATATTTTATTTTAATATATTTTTTTTATTTTTTATTTTAACAGTAAAATTACATATATATCCCTAAAATTTTATTATTTGTTAAGAAAAATCATTATTATTATTATTATTATTTATTTTTAAAAATAAAATAATTATTTATTTTATTTTTTTAAACTCTAGCTCGACTCGAATTTGAGTTGAGCTCAAACTCAAGCTTTACATTTTGAACTCGTCGAATTCGAACTTCATAAACTTAGGTTGAGACTCGGTTCAATTAGATCAAAATCTAGATTCAATTGGACTTGATTTGTTTGCACTCTTAGTCCCCATCGACCCTCGCTATCCCTTCCCCTTTCCCTTTCACCCTCGGCCCATCTCCTCCTCCCCACCTCCCCCAACCTCTCACCTTCTTCCCCTGCAAACTCTTACATTTTGTATGTCCTTGAGTTAACTCAGTGCAAAACCATATCTACCTGGATGTAGATTGGAACAGCATAAACAACTTTCAGATTGAGAGTCCATTTGCATGATAGAAAGAGATAATACTATGAAAATTGAGGGAAAAAAGATACAAATAATTTAGGGGTATAGGTAAAGAAAGATTAAACTGGGTAAATTCCTGGCACAAATTAACTGAAATGGGGGTGCTTAAAAAAAGAGGAAATGGCATAAGAAAAGGCAAAGAAAGTGGCATAGGATATTAGACGGAAAACACTAGAAAAGGTGAGTGTTCTATGGCAATTTCTCCAAGGAAATTAAATATGGGACAAAGTGAGCCAAGGAGGCTTTGGTTTATTGGTTAAAGGTTCAGATTTTAGGAATTAGAAGTTGTATTTACATGCATGCACTTGGAATGTTTGAAGTAGCAGTTTCCGCCTCTGTTTGGGCTGCCTAATCCACTTGTTCTCAAGAGGGACATCTACAATTGCATCTGCAACTGTGGATACTACTCTACCTAAAATGAGACTAATTATTCTTGTGTTACCGTTGTAATGTTCAGGGCAGCTGATAATCATCTTCTTTCAAATGAACAAACATATCACCGTAGTTATCTATCTGTTCACTCTCATTATTGTTCATTGTCTCTATAGATCACATGTACTGCTTTTGTGGCCCAAATTTCCATTCATTTTGGTGACATGAAATAAAATGTCATTTTGTTCTGCTTCGTTGTCAGAAAAATGCTCAAGACAGTTTTGAACGTGTTTCTGGGAATTGTAGCAAATCTTGGCATAGAGTGGATGCGCAGTCACTCAGGCCTTGACGCAAAGATGAAGACTCTAGAAAGAAGAATTCGTGTGCTGACCAAAAAAGCACGTGACATACACATGACAATAAGACATGAGCAAGACCTACATTCAGGATATAAAAGAAAGAGGGAAGTTGGGGATTGGTTGAAAAATGTAAAAAGAAAGAAAATGAAATACCAAGGCCTGAAAAGAGATTACCAGAGGAGACCATTTCCTTCGCGTATTTCATTGGCACGGTACGTTGATGCAATGATTCAGGAGGCATCAGATCTTCTTGAACAAGGGTCATTTTGCGGTGGCTATATGATTACTGTCCATGAGGAGAGCAAGCCCCTGGTAACAGAAGAGCTGATAGGCCAATCAGTTCAACAAAATTTGACAGACACACGGGCTTTGTTAATGGATGACAAGGTTTCATGCATTGGAATCTATGGTATGCCTGGAGTAGGCAAGACGGCTGTAGCAAGTCATATCCATAACGAGCTATTAAAAGAAGACAAATTTTTGAAGCATGTATATTGGTTCAGTGATGCTAATTCTGAAGTCTCCAAATTGCAGGACGACTTGGCGACAGTCTTGCATCTCGATCTCCCAAATATGGATGCCGGTGATGATAGGAGGGCAGCCAAATTAGCCTCGGCATTAGAGAGGAAGAACAAGTTTGTGATCATACTCGACGGTTTATTGACGCCTATTGATGTCGGAACGATAGGAATTCCTCTAGGAAAAGAAGGGAGGAAGTTGATTGTGGTTAGTCGATCATTGGATGTATGCCACAGAACGGGATGCCAAAAGGAAATTAAGGTGCAACCTCTTTCTGCTGATGAAGGTCGGATGCTGTTTATGGAGAAACTTCGTAGTAGGGACCAAGAGCTCCTACCGGATGTCCAAGAGATTTCCAGGTCTATTTCAGAAAAGTACGGAGGTTTGCCTCTTGGGATCATCGCTAAGGCGAGAAGCATGATAGGGGCTAATGACATTCGCCAGTGGAGAGATGCATTGGCAGAGATGGAAGAACGACCAGATGATGCGGTTTTTGAGGTAATGAAAAGCAGTTTTTATGGCTTGAGAAATGAAAGGTGGAAGACCAGCTTCTTGCATTGCTCTATCCTCTTGAAAGATGAAACAGTTCCAAGGGATGAAGTAGTTAGAGGGCTCATCTCGGAAGGATTTCTAGATAGAAGATGCAGAGAAGCAAAGCTTGATCAGGGTCATACCATACTCAAAGCACTCGAGAAGGCTTGTTTACTGGATCGTGTTGTGAATGATGGAGTGGATTGCTTGAAGATGCATCCTTTGATGAGAGACATGGCCACTGAGATAATGAAGAGTGATCCAACCTACATGGTAAAACATCATCATTATTTTCCTGCATTTTTCTTTTGTAGGACTAGGAATGAAGTCTAATTGCAATGGAAGTAGGGAGTATTGTTTGAGTTGAGATGGTACCATTAACGAATGGGGCAGTGCCAAAATTGCTCTGCTTTTAGGTATAGTATTACTCTTTTTTTTTTTTTCTCCCAAAGTAGAGACAATGAATACTAATGTTTGAGTTGGAAGTGACAAACTTTGTGCAAATTAATAGACATACCAACAGAATGCCATATCCCAGTGACCATGCTGCTGTTAATCGGTTGGACTTGGACAAGCGAAAACGTTGTTGGAGGTTCAACTCAGAAGCCAGAAATTTGCTCTTTCGACCTTGTCGAAGCTTTCCTGTTTCTCTGTTTGTCGGGATCTCTTCCCAAGCTTCTTGAATTCCGGTGACTCGCTTTTCTTCCCTTCTGCCTCCCGCTGGTAAACACCCCAACTGAGTAGTTGAAAGTAAATATATAGAGATCCAAATACTCTTTTTCTTTTTGTCTTTTTACTATCCACCAATTTTGCCTTTTGAATCATGTTTATGCATGCCAAATTAAGCAATTGAAAGTTGGAACTCATTCTAAAACAAACAAATTTATACCCAACAAAAACACATGAGAAAGAAGCCAAACTTGGGGCAAAGAACTTGGAAGATGCAAAAAACGCCTCAAAATGCACCAAATCAAGAAAAGTTTTTCACAGACACATCTGCAGTAAAGTTCTTAAAACAAACCCTTAAAAAACACGAATCCACATCATTTTGCAATAGCATTCCTGATTTTAATCAGTAATACAATCAAATGACTAAACCCTTTGAAACCAAACTATGAAGTCACATGTTAATCATGTTGAATGGATCAAGATCTTTGAATAGATTAGATTTTATTTTCTCTTTAGAATGGAAGCTCTTTTTCTTTTTTCATGTTCTAACCTGAATCAGAGATTAAGCAAGGGTTATGGCCCAGCATTTCACTACTAGACCAGAGAAATTGTAGACTAGGAGGCCGCACATCAATAGCAAGGAGAAATCGAAGAAGACCAGTACAAGATATGAAGTCCTTGCTGGTGTTTTTTGCTATCAACATATGGTATTATCTCTGAGAACACATGACAAAAGTGCCAAAGGCTTGAAGAGGTGAGGACAAAGATAACCACTGGGAAGACAATCCGCAACCAGAGCAACACATGAGATACACATGCTACTCCAGACGCTAAACACTGACAGAGCATCCAATGGAAGCTTAAGGCCCTGCTAGAGCTCATAGACTCAAGACGGATCGCTTTGGGGAATGGATAAAAGGGTTCAGTAGGGAAACTGGAAATGGCATCTAATATGCTGGTTGAGCTGTGGGGGCTTTAAGATGGATTTCCAAGAAAGCCACTCCACGTAACTGTAAGAACATGCTTGAAAGAACTTGACATTTCTAGCCAAATAGTAATATAGGGAAGTGTTTTGTGCTATATGTTTTGGTGGGGAGGGGGGGAGTGGGGGTTTCTACAGCCACAGATGCCCTGGTGCTGAAAACTTTGTCATTCATTTCCACTTCTTGTACCATAAAGAACTGTTACTTATTAACTGTCATTTTAACCTTTAAAATTGACACAAACCTCTAAAGCAAGTATTTATCAAAAAAAAAAAAAAAAAAAAACCTCTAAAGCAAGAATTGGAACTTAATAATGCTAGACCGTCATTTGGTTTTACTGAGGAGAAGAAAGGGACAAATAAAACTAAATGCCATACACTTCCATAAGTGGGATATGGCCATTCTTCTATAGAGGGAAACCAGACATCTATATGAAGTTCAAATACTAGACAACCTTTCCGGCGGACAGATGTTTAGAGCACAGCTGATGATTGGAATCATGGAAGGCAAAATCTTCAGATTTATGTAAGTTTTCTTATTCTCAAAAATACAATCCAAACAATTTTTGCATCATGATTACTCCTTTGATCCTTCCCAGAGGGGTCAAAAGATTCCAAAGCCCACAATTTACACAAAGGAATTTCCTTTAGCTTCTTATTATTTTCAACTCTTCACGAGTCAAAGGCATTAATACTTGGTCCTTGATCCAAATTGCCCTAGATGCAGTGGGGACTGTCATGTACCAAGTCTCACTCAAATTTTCTCACTCAAATTTTCTTATAAATGTTTGGATTTATGGACTCTTACCCAAATCAAGAATAGCGACAGGAAAGAAAACGGATTGTATGAATAAAGTCCTATTTGGTTGTATGAGATTTGTCTGCTTTACAATGGCCGATAGTCACACCCAGAAATTCCATCCCAGAAATTCTTTATCGATGACAGGATATTCCACTATGAAAGACAACTTTAATTTGCTTGGGACTTGTTGGACCAATTCTTCATGGTGTACGTGTTTGTGTCCAACCCGTCCAACCCGTCCAATTTGTTTCTCCAAAAGCCACTGCTTTGGTGTCCGCTGAAACAAGTTGGATTATGTTTCAAGGCAACTGGATAAATTCTTAAGTATAGGAAAGTTCAAACTCAACACATTCGAAAGCCAATGAGAGTTGAGAAATTAGTGCCCAAAAGGCAGATCAACAATCCATAGCTCTTAATTGCTTAGATGGCATATCCAAGTTGGCTTCCAGCAAATGCTGGTTCAGCTCTATATTAGGCTCGCTTCCTGAGAGAAGCGAAACCTGGGTGTGGTTGAGAGGTACTGGAGCATATTCCAAGGAAATCTAAGATAATAACAAACTTTATTTCCAACTGCGGATGAACACAAAAGAGGCTCCAAGTATTCTCCTCATGCACTTCCCAGCAACAACAGTTGCTGTGCTGCAAAGCTATAATCGTATGGTCAAAGATTAAAGCAAGAAAACACAGGAAATCATATGGTCAAAGATTAAAGCAAGAAAACACAGGAAAATAAACAGATGTCACCTAAGATCTCACCCCAAGACGGGGTAGCACTGATGCAAGCAAGCAAAGAAAAGGGGAAGAACACTATAAACTAGTAATTAGGAATTATTAATCTAATTGGAAGTTTGGGATTCAAAAGAGCCAAACCAAAAAAGAAGCCATGAAAACTGCTAGAAATTCAAGGGGTTCTCAACATGTTTATAGATATTAAGTAAAAGATCTTGAGCATCAGCTAGAATATTTGGTGATGCCACAGCGAAAATGAGGTCAGAGGCTTATTCAAAGTCAAATCAGGAAGAATTGCCAGAGCACCAGCCAGTCTGCTGGAGATCTTACATATCTTCTCCTTTTCTTGGTAAGTGGATCCCATATATCCTAGTATCCCCAATTTGTGAATATTAATAACACAGAATAGCTGTGACTGTCATGGATTGTCTGGAAACGAAGGCCTCTGAGTCAACCGACCATCATGAGAGAGAATTCTAAATGAAATTCCAAACTTTGCCTAATTGGTCTAAATATGTCAGTCATAAGACGAAATATAAGGACGCTTTCAAGACCATTATTTTGCAAGAATTTATTTGAGTACCCCAAGAATGTTATAATCAATTGACTACTTCTTTCCTATCAATGACAGATATGGTAAAAGTAGCCACTTGAGACTAGAAACCCATTTATTCCAAGCCCAAATTGCCAATATAGAAATATAAAGGTTGCTCCTCTAGTTTCTCAATTTGCATTCTCCAGTGATGGATAGATTTCTTGCATTTTTTTTCTACCAAATACTCAACCTGTGCCTTGTACAAAAAGGATGGAACAAGCAAATTATTGCTAAAGGAAGCAAAAATAAGAAAATTGAGAATGCGCAGATGAACACTAGATATTTTCACCATATCAGCCACAAGGAACTAGCCAAAGTAGTAAAGTGCACATAAGTCAATGACCCGAAATAGATAATTACTGCTATTACCTATAGCAAAGAACATGCATTTGGTTGTTAAAAGCAGAACAAGATTTACAGCAAAAGCAGAAATGAGAGCCAAACCAGTACTGCCCCTGATTCTGAAGGACATAGGCAGGACGGATGGAGATACAAATAGAATTTGGTAAAGAATGAAAACAAATGGCCATGGTCATATCAGTGCAAGAATCTCCCTGATATCTAGCTAGCGGATCATCATCAAACACTACTTCACCTATAAGATCAAACAAAACAGAATTTGACAGTATTGAAAGAAAAAGCAACATAGTTGTGTTTCACGTCTTTAACATCATGTTGGATAATCTCAGACAAGTGTTGGTAGTGCAAATAGGGAGTTGTTTAATTGAGGAAGATGGGGAATAATTGAGAAGGAAAAGACGGACTTACTTGAGGATTGAAGGGGACATTGATTAAACTACTGGAGATTCAGCAACAAATTGAACAAAAGGTTGTATGACACTCCCTGAACCAGGATCTTTCCATTGCAACAACTTCCACCACTCAAGCTCTTCATTCAAGATTTCAACAGCTCTAAGGGGCGGGGAGGGAGTTGGTTGTCCATCAATGCTGGAAAAGGAAAGAGGCATCCTTGCAAGATTTTTACACCCTATTACCCTAATATTCTCAATGGAATCACAGATTATTATTCCCTCACAGATGCTCCTTAGTTTTGGCAGATGTTGTAAAGTCAACTTTTTAAGCCTTGGGAAGTTGACAAAGGTTTTAAGAGAGTGTTGGTCACCGTTACTTAGACTGGAACGTACTTTGCCCCCTTCCTTGTCAGCTATTATCTCTTCCAATCGATCACAAAACAGCAATTCAACCACTTCCAGATTTTGAAGGTGTTGCAGCAAACATGGTGTGAATATTGTCGTCATTGTATTGCACCTGCTGATGGTAATTGATTTTAGATGGCAAAAAATCCTACATGGAGGGTCAAATTCAATTTCCCATTTGAAGAGTCCAACAAAATTTGGCAACAAATGGAGACTCAAATGCTCAAGGCTTTCCAGTGGGGCCCAAGGAGATAAAATCATCTCTCCAACTAGTTGGTCTTCAGAAGAAGACACCTTCATGATGCATTCCAGTTCAGGACAATTGTCAATTAAACACAGAGTCAAGCCTCTTCTTTGAATATTGAACGATGAGAAAGCAGTGGTTAAGCAGGCGCTTAGCCCATGACAATTTATTAGAGCTAGTTGTTGAATGTCCTCTGGCAGCACTATGGCACTCTTTCCTCCTCCTAGATCTATGCCACTAAGTGTCACATTGTTATTTATTTGGCATGGAACTGGAGATGGAAACCATAACAGGCTTAGACTTGGGCTCACTTCAATACTATAAAAAATGGGAGTTTCGTAGCTCTGGCGATATCGAACAAAATGACAAAGAGTATCTATATCATAAAATCCACCTTGAAATTCTTCTAGATGTTTCAATGCTTTTAGTTCTTCTACTCTGACTTCCACATTTTCTGGAATCCGGAGGCTTTGAAGATGGGAGAGTTTGCAGATTGTACCATCTGGAATCGTCCTTAATCCTGTACTATCAATGTTTAGGCAGTTCAGATTGACCAATCTTTCCAAGCCTTCAGGCACATTCTTAATAGCAGTATGATATAGATCTAATTCCTTCAATGCCTTGAGCCCCCCTAGTGGCGGTACAAAACTGAGTCTGTAACATTCAGATAGCAACAGTGCAATAAGGTTACTCAATTGTGAAACACTGTTTGGCAGCACTTCAAGGTCATAGTTGCGGCTTAAATCCAGAACTCGGAGGGCTCTCAACTGAGAAAAGAATGAATCAGGAATCGATCTTAAATGATTACTCGCCAAAATCAAGCTTGAAAGTTTAGGGCACTTAGGTGATATGCCTGACGGAATTAATGATATGTTGTTATCTATCAATGAGACCTTTTCCAAATCCTCTTTCCATTCAATCTCATCTGGTATGCGTTGCAAGCATCTTCCAGATTTTACCATATACTTACTGTCAGAGTCTATCATCCTTAGTGCCACATCTCGTATCAAACAATGCATCTTGACACATTCAATTTCTCTATCATTACTTTCCAATAAGCACATCCTTTCAAGTCTTTTCAGTATCACATGGCCCTGGTCAAATAACGATAGCCTCGATCTTCTTTTATCCATGAGTCCTTCCAAAATCAACAATCTTATCAATTCATCCCTTGGAATTTTGTAGTTTTCAGGGTAGAAAGAGCAATACAAGAAGCATTCCTTCAATCTCCGATCTCTCAAGTGATTAAAAGAGAGATGCAAGATATCAAAGAGATTGTCATTTTGCCCAACAAAAGATCCTTCCAACTCTTCTAAGACTTCCCTCCACTCATGAATGCCATGCACTCCCTTCATCCGTCCAGCAATGGTGATAATCCCGAGCGGCAGACCACCGCATCTTTGCACCATAGACTTCGCGATCTCCTTTACATCCAAAGGAAGTTCATGTGGAGGACAAAGTTTCTCCAGAAACAATGTCCAAGCTTCTTTCTCGCAAAGAGGTTCGACTTTTATTTCCTTTTGGCAACCTACTTGACGACACACTTCTAATGATCGACTGGTTACTATCAACTTGCTTCCATCTAAGCCTAAAGGAATTCCAATTTTATTTATGTCAAATGGGATCCAAACATCATCCAATATGATCACAAAATCTTCCATTCTGCTCAATGCTATGAACAATTTGGCTGCTCGTTTCCTCTCATCTTCCTCATTTGAGAGATCCACATTTACGGCTTTGGCAACACTGTCCTGTAATTTATGGATGCTGCCCTCTTGTGGGTCAGCAACCCAGTAAACTCTATCAGCGAATTTAGTTCCAATGACGAAATCCTCATAGATACGTTTTGCTAAAGTTGTTTTGCCCACCCCTCCCATACCATATATTCCAACACTTGAGATCCCATCGTTCAAAAGCCAAGCCCAGATTTCTTTCATATTTATTTCAATTGTTCGGCCTTGCCACTCTGTTTCTACTAGCAGCCCACCAGGCAAAATCTTCTCCAGAGATGCACCCTGCTTTGTAAGTTCCTTAATCATTTTATCAACATGTTGCACCATCTTCCAACGTGCATAAATATTATAAAAGCTAGTTTGCTGGGCTTGCTCTTTGAGGCATTCAAATTCTATTTTTATATCCTCAACTACCTTAAACAACTCTTCAACTGCCCTCTTCCTTTTCTTTTGCTGGTGTGAGTGTGCACCTCGTACTCTCGTGATCATATCACCTGATCGACACGCCAAATGATCAAGTTCTTTTTGAACATGTTGCATCTTCTTCTCAAGGGAAATGTAACCATGTACTGGTCCCAAACCAAGGTCTATAAGTTTATTCGCCATGTTCCCTGCCAGGAAAAAAAAAATTTAATTATCTTGGATTTCCAGGAATAAAGACCAAACATCAAAGGTTTTTGAGACCCTATAAGCCTTCAGATAATTTGTATATGGAAATCATAACATCTCTCAATGAAATTGCTGACAGTGTAAAAGTGAGTCCTAGATAACAATAAATTCATTATAAGCTTCACGGACATTATTCCTAGGCTATCTCTGTTTTTATGGTTCAAAGATTATTTTAATATAGCATTTTTACTTTTACTGATTTTACTTGTAATGTATCTTTGACACAATGTATACACAGTCCTCTTGGAAAGGTGTATTTGAACTGTTTGGATTTGAAATCCTATAGGCCAAGTTGATTGAAGTTGTCGGGATAAATCAGGACTCTACAGATTCAGAATCCACTGCAAGCCCAAAGGATTTTAACTGTAAAAAATAAATGGAATAATTTCTAACTCGCCACGTCATTTGATGTTCCTCTCCTTGACTCTTTTTATGATTTCAATCTACATCTCATATTTCTTTACCTTCTCTTTCAGTCTATGTGTTCTCTTTCACCATTCTCACTTTTTCACAGGGAAAAAACAAAATCTCTGTTAATCATGTATAATCATCACATACAAAATAACAAATCTACCAAGAAAATTTACAGAACAAGCAGGTGTCTGAATTCTGATTGAACCACAAGCGTCACTTCTTAGAAATTCAGCTATGGGAAGAATATGTTAGTTGTGACCTTGCGTTAACTCCACAACACTTTGTCATGTGAAAAAAAAAGAAAATCATTATTATTTATTTTTTTTCAAAATTGGTACCGGTCTTCAAGCTAGCTGTTATCTCAGGGATGTTTAGAAGAAAGGCCAGTGAGGTGTTTTGAGTATATGCCTGAACCCAAGAAGGTATTTCATGCTCCACGTGGCATGCCACATGACATAAATCCTTGCTGATTGAATCCAGTTTGAAAAAGCTCAACACTCATTCCTTTATGCAACCTTTCAAATCACTTGCTCACCTTACCAATCAGTTGAAACACAGTCATCCTAATATTGCAATGAAGAACAGGCAAATTATTTGCATTTAAAAAATTGGTAAAATTAACCAACAACAAAAACAAGACAGGGAACCATTACAATGAAAAATACCCCTAATCAATTCCCAACAAGAAATTAACCAACAAAAACAAAAGGCAAGAAAAAAAATGTTCAGCTTAATCTGAAATTATTCATGCTTTTTGGAAACCTAGAAATAAAAAATTCTTCGTACATTTGAATTCAAAATCAATCAGACACAGAAAATTCATCGAAAATCATAAAACGCAAACAATAATTGTCGTATTACCTCAAATGCTGCCCTGAAACAATTAACTGAACTCGATTTGAGAGAAGCTGGTGCCGCCTGGACAATCTGGAAGAACAGACGCAGATAAAATTTCTCCAGGAATGTGTAATGAAGTAAATACATGAGTCCGAGTTGACTCATAAGACGAAGGGCGAAGACTTTCAGGTGGGAACTCTGAAGTTAAGAGCGGTAAAATGTGAAGAAATTTCCTGCAGTTTTCTTCGAAATTCTGTTGGGTAATATTGCGGTTAACCCCCTGTCGTCATAAACTTGTGTGATTTTGGCTCTTAAATTTTACTTATCCTCATTTCACCTCCTTTTTTTTTTGGTATAAGTCCCTCTATTTATATCTATGTGATTTATAGTTTAAAATTTTGAAATTGTTTACACTTTACACCCGATGTTGTTAGATTGAAACACCTGGCTTGAACTGGAACTTGTGAGGAAGGGAATCTCATACTTATGGAAAGGAAAGGTATGGAAAGCAATCTTGAAAAAAAAAAAAAAAAAGGGAAAGGAAATGACTAATGAGCCCGGAGGATGAAAGCGTGCAATCATCAACTTCAAAGAAATGTCCTTTATTTTGCTGAAGTGAAGGAAATTATTCTTGGAAATTTAATTGGGTTTACCTGTTATCTTCGGGTCTTCCTTGTGTGGATGTATACAGGATTAAGCGGTTAAGCAATTTGCAAGTCATTGACCTCGGTCAATGCGTCAATGGAGATTGGAGATAATAGGAGGAAATTTCTTTCTTTTTCCCTATGAATTCGCAGGTGGGTGGAAAAAATTTGTTTAAAAAAAAAATTCTTGGTAACGAAGCAAAGTGACTTTTGTAGAGAGAGAGAGATTATATGTGTGTGTATACACACGCACATTTTGAAGGTAAATTTGTAGGTTTCTTTTTAAACTTTTTCCGTTTAAATTCGGGAGGGAGGAATTTAAGAAACGAGAAAGAAGATGAAAGGGATTTGAACCCAATAACTCTAAGGATGCGTTTGATAAAGTTGAAATTCAAAAACTGAGATCTGAAATTTGAAGTCTAAATCCATTAAATTATTGAATTATTAAATACTAAATAAGATACATTTGAGTGTATATTACATTAAGTGATAAGTAAACAGTTTACATTTATTTTTTAGAGCAAATTTTGTCTTGACAAGCATTAGTTGAATGGATCACGGTCTCATAAATTGAGTTATTGTCTAGTTCAAGTCGGTTGTTTAATTCTTATAATATCTAGTTTAAACTAACACAATTTTGGTATAAAATTTGAATTCTTTTTATAACTTATACAACTAAGTTTCTATAAAAATCACTATTACATCAAAATTGAAATTGTATGAGTTTATACCTTATGTTATTAGATTGACACAATTGGTTTGAGTTGGAACTTGTGAGGCCCCAAATTCCTACTTGAATTCTACAAGCTATACAATTGTTGCCCCAAAACATTAGGATTATAAAAAATTCAAAATCGAAATTGCACGAATTTACACCCGATATTGTTAAATTGAAACAACTAATTAGAACCGGAACTTGTGAGGCCTCAAAGCCCTAGTTGTATCCTACAAGTTATTATAATTGTCGGGATGCCCCGAAACATTGAGAGTACTAGTATGATTCTGGCCGCTGCGTACGGATATGATCAACTAAATCTGTAACAATGAGGATAATTTGCTAAGGTTCAAGAGGTAAATAATATTAGAGATAATGATATTAAAAATTAGTTTTCTCCATCCTAGGACACTAGTTCAAAATTATTTTTTTATTTAACGTGCATCATATTAAAAAAATAATGATTTTAAAAAAAATTATTTTAAATAATTTTCTATCAAAACATGCTTGCTTAGGGTCTATTTGTATCGATGGAAATTTTTTCAAAAAAATGTTTTCCCTTTTTTCTAATGTTTGGTTGAAAAAGCGTCCAAAAAATTTTTTTCTAGAAAAAAGGTTTTACTTTATCCAATGGAAACCAAACTTCTGCAAAAGGTTTCAGTGAATCTAAATCAATGGTATTGTTGGTTACATCATCTTATTCAATTGTTCATAGAATTTTCTATGAATGGTTTAAAAAGAATTTTTTTTTTACCATTTTTTGACTCTCAAATTGATTGTGGTGTTTAACATGGATTGTCTATAGTAGTAGTAGAGAGATACCAACTGATAATTATATTAGAATGCGAATTTTTCAAGAAAATGATTTTTAGCGAAAAGATTTTCTTGGGGAAATTATTTTACAAGCAAACAGACGGACCCTCAACTGGCACTACTTTACCACTGGGACGTTGTTGCGCCCCGCCCACCCGCGGCCACATTTTACCATGCAAAACCATACACACAGTAGTGAGCTCTCTCTCGCACCTCTCAGTTGCCACCAATACAACCTCTCATCAAGGTGGAGCAACATTTATTTTTAATCAGCAGAAAATAGCACCAACCGAACTCAAAAATGAATACAACGGTGGTAAAATGAATACACTTGTGATGGTAAGATGTCATCTTTGGCTTAAGTTTTCTTCCGCAAATGAGATGAAAAGACGGCAAGTTCTCGGCAAATACAAAAACTGCAAATGCTCCCAGCACTTCTTTTGTTGCGTTTAACTCAGGTAGACGGCAAAATTTCAAACACTCCTAGAGCAATAAAACAGTGGTGGAACACAAATGGCTACTATAGTTCAAAACTTTCTTCTTTGATAACCGAGTGACAGGGCGTCGAACCTGTGCAATAATAATAATAAAAACTAAATACCACTAAAAGCAGTCAATAATTAATCATAAGTACTGGAGCAGGGACTCTAGGTGTGCAATGGGTTACTTGATTCACCCCGTTCCCGAAGAGTTTGCTGAATCCGATATACCAGAATTAATTAGTTGGCAAAAATTACTGAATAGTAGACAGTGGCAAGTAGGGTCGTCTCCTCAGGGACTGGGGATATTTGCCTCCTTTAAATTTCAATTGGTAAGGGGGGATTTCACCAGAATTGAAATTAACAACACTTAAACAATTTAACTAAAAATGAATAATTAACTAGCACAAATATAGCAGGAATTAAATCAAGGATAAATAAATTCTAGCCAAGAATACAACTATTCAGACGCAGTCCATTTATCCGATCATTGATGCAAGGGAGGTTCTCTTAATTTCTTAATAGGCTAGTTAAAGCCGCCGATGAATTCTAACAACCAATTTTTCCTTAAATTATTGATAACCAAGGTACGACCATTGATCACCCCTAACCAAAAAATACTCCTAGGTACGACTGCAGGAATTAATTTTTCAATTGCATTAATAACTAGAAAAACCTAACCCTAATCAATAACACGTTACGAGAGTTATTTAAATTAGATTGCACGTTCCTCTAATGTGTAAATACACCAGTTGCCACTAATATTAATCAATCAAACAATTACGGATTTAATTGACTAAATTAGCACGAGATTAATAAATCACATTGAACATCGGGCCCTTGACATCCAATTAATAAAATAATCTCATGAAAATTCAAGCAGACAACGTGCAAATATTAATAAATTAAGGAACGCGTGAAAACTAATTAGATCTCACAGATTTTTCGGGACTACGCCGTCGAGTTGACCATTGACTAGATGGAAGACTTAGCCACGCCGCATAATTAAATCACCACACGAATCAATGGGTTGCAAAGGCATTGCGGTTTTTTACCAGAAAGCAAGGAATAAAAGATATTTTTCCCGTTAGAGAATATTGTCGAACACCTGGCGTGTGTCAGAGGCCAGTCAAAAGAAAGAAAACTATAACTAAACTGAAAAGCTAAAACTAAAGCCGTGCTTTGCTTTTGTATGTTGTCCCCTTTTAAAGAACCAAAATAAAGATGACTAAAAGCTATCTAGGTGGTCCCTACACATGTGGACAAAGCCTCCAAATTATTTCTTGTTCCAAGTCTCTCTACGTTGCTTTCTTTGAAGAGCCCAAATGACTAAATATCTTTCACTAGCTTTGTGGTCTCCCACCAATTCAAGGGCCCAAGGATTGAAGTCCTTAGAAGTCTCCATTTTCTTCATAAAGTCCCTTCTTTTTGGTAATTTTCCGCTTCATTCCTGAAATTAAGTCCAGATTCCAAATATAAGTAGATATCAACAATTAACGCAATATTGGGTAGGGATAAAAGGGAAAATTAATAATAAAATTACTAACAAATGATACCCTATCAATTCCACCCACACCTGAATTATGCTTGCCCTCAAGCATGGAGACAATTCAACTTTACAATGGCTAGCTTTAACATTATCATTGCCAGCTGTGCTTATACCAAAATCAAGATTTAGTGGCTAAGTGTCAAGTCATATCTCTCCCGGTTAGTTCCTAAGTTCATAGACTCGTCCAATTCATGGCTAACTCGCTCAGAAAATCCAAATATTAACTAGCACAGTCAGCAATTAAGTCAACTGGCAACCAAAATCTCAACATTGAGAGCCAAGGATCGGCGAGCCAACATGATCATAGACCATCATATTTTTCACATCTGTTCTCTCTATCTTTTTTTCGTTTTCTTTTTTTTTTCCTTTTTTTTTTGATCGCACAAATAATGCTTAGTCCCAAACTATTCAAGTTTTTTGACGTGAACTCTGATATTTTTAGATGAAAGAGCCCAGTTACTCAATTTTTCACAGCTCCAGGACTACTTACTCATAGATATCGCAACTTTTTTGACGCGAGAGCCGGCACTTGTGGTGAAGACTCCCGGTTACTGGGTGACGACACTAGCGGAGTATAGCCATACGTTATTCACCATAAAACACCAAAATACCCAATAATTAAATATCATAGCCTACGTCATGTCCTAAATATGGAGAACTAAGGTCAACAGGAGACTAATCCACACAACAACGTCAGCAAAATATTTACATTGCCTAAACAAGTTAGCCATAAATTGCACCAAATCGTTAAACTCAAAATATTCACCAGGAGAGCATGCTCTTACTTGCCACCGAAACTCAATTCATAGTGTAAACTACAACTAGCAATAAAAAATTGAGCTGCCAAAATATTCACCAAGATAACAGCAAGGGAAAAACACCCAAAAGGGATAAAGGAACAACACCTAAACAGAAAACAAGAGGAAAACAATCGAAAAAATGAAAAATGGAAATATCTAGCACCCAAACAGACCCCCCCACACCTAAGTCACACATTGCCCTCAATGTGATAATGTAATAGTAGAAAAGAAGGAGAAGAGCAATGGTACTTCCCTGAAGTCGTCAAAACAGGGGTGGATCGGGCGCGAACTGAGGAGCAATTCCTGCATGTTGCATAAAAGC